AGCTGGGCTGTAGGCGACGAAATACCGGCTGAGTTGTCACACGTTGAATAGGTTTATAGACATCCGTCTTGTCAAAAAGTTGAACTTTTGCCTTCAATATTTCAACAGGCAATTTTAGAAGTGTCTTCACATAGATTACAACACCGTTTAGATTATTGTATTCACTTCAAGCCTTCCCTATTTTTCTTGATGATGCGGGAACTATTTCTAATTAGTGCTTCTAGCTTATTAAAAGAACATATTGTGCAAACGATGAAAAAAGCATAGATGGAAGATTTTAAATGCAATTTTCTCTAGCAATTAATGGAAAATTCTCTACAGATCAAGGAAAAGGTGCATGCTAACTGATAATTTAAAGTTCTTGGGGCCAGTTGTTTTCTTCTTTTCTTACGTCGCCCCAATGGCCGCGAATACACTTGTGATAACGCCTATCGTCTATTTACAGCGCCCTATTCACGCAATCTTATAAAGATAATAGTATGGCAATTCTATTCACGCCATTTTGCCCCCGGTACAAATCAACGCCAGCAGGAAACACGCAACGTGATTGGTCAATGGCTTGTCGCCGTCGCTAATGGAAATTATGCGTACCTACTGTTTGCGAACAGCAAATGTTGTGTTTTAATTTTTGTGGGGCATTTATTTCTTTTAGAGACACAAATATGTGCAATGAATAAATTATTTATGGAAAACGTGATAGCAAACTACGGAAAACACCAACATGCTTGAAAAATTCTCCTGAAAAGTGGATTGCCGGCCAAATAAATTTCAGCGTGGGCATTCTCGCGCTCAGAAAATCGAGTGAATAAAGTGTTTCTCCTGCTTATCATTTGCCAAGGCCCTATATAGAAGGTATGCTCATTAGGCCGAAGCAGCGATTTCCGTGACGTCACTGGTACGAAGGGTCGGACGGCTGTAATGCAATCCTATGGAAAATGACCCAACTTTAGGGCTCTCCCACATAGCTGCCAACCTCGACACTAAGGTAAAAGTTATATCACATAAAAGCTCAAATCAAGACGAACAAGAAACCTATTTGACGTTTTTAGGTATTACTAACGGCTTAGACTCTATTCAAGTATATTCAGAGCTCTGCATTACCTCACTTTTTCTGCCGTCAATGCCACTACAAATGTCTAGTCGGCGCACGTGCGCTTGTCGAGCGGGGGCCACCAGTCGGGCGATTCAGAGCTGCCGCCCAATCAGAACGCCGCAATGCCGTGACGTCATTGGTCGCACACGACACGTTACGGAGATAGGGATGAGACAGCCCTGATCATTTGCATTTATTTGCTGTTAAAGCATTGGAATAAATTTGTTAAAAAATTATCTAAATAATGACTTAATCATAGCTCGGCTACTGTTTCAGTAATTGAAGTAATGCCGCTGACAATGAAGCTCCTACAATTTGAGCATTAGAATACGTGCATTAAATGGATCAATTCAAGATATAGCTTATTTTCCTTCTTGTCATAAGCTCTTGACATTTTCCTTCTTGAAGATAAAGCTACTAAAATTCGAAGATTACGTACATGAACTGAATTAGGTCAAATTACAGCTTATTTTCCTTCTTATTCAAGCATAGGTACCTACCTAACCTAAAGCTAAAAAGCAATTCCTCAAAAGATTGAGGAACCCAGTCTACATATCAAAGCTATATCAATAAAAATACTCTGTTCAGAAGTCAGATCGAGATGCAGGAAGAGAAACAACAGATTGATCACTGATCAGTAACTGTGCCAGACAGAAAGTGAGGAAATACGAATAGTGAGTAGGCATTTACAATTTTTTGACAAGCTAAGGTATATCATCATTAATTTAAATATCTAATCAGAAGCCATGAAGTGCCCGTTATTTGTGTCATACGTGAGACGTAAGAATAGGCTAAAGAAAGACCCATACCGATTCTATAATGCAGCGGCTGCCGAAAATTTAAGACGGTTACTGGTGCTAAAATCCTCTTAAAATCCCCTTTTAATTTGAAAAATAAAGTCATATAACGAGAACACTCGTTTTAATGTGTTTTAGTGTGCATTTAGTTCCTGGAAATATATATTTTGAAATTGATCGTTGTCTGTATAAGCATCATTATAATAAATTATGAGTTAATATATGGATGGTGTTTTAATCTTAAAAATATCATAACGTAAAATATTGCACACTGAGAGAAAAATTTACTCTAGGCTCTCGGAATTCTCTGAAACTCCCGCCTAATAACTCTTCGCAACTCCCTCAAATGTCGGTAAGCCTAGCGTAGCGAAGAGTATTTCCGAGAGTTTCCCGGTAGAGTTGCCAATTCGGCTGCGTCCGGGGAGTGTATCGTAGAGTTTACCGAGTGTAACGCGCGGAGTGTCAGCTGGCCTCTCTCGTGCGATGCCTGTTTACTCTCCTCATTTCCAGCTGGAAGCATAATCGAGTTTATTCAAGGGAGAGTTTTGAAGAGTTTTGGAGAAAAGTAATGTTCTAGAAGCTTCGGCGCGCGCTAGCTGGCCGAGCGTCAGTCCAGTCCAGCTGCCGGCGCAGCGCAGTGTGCACGTTGCTGTTTGTATTCCAATTTCCAGTAGGTACTATTGTGCAATTTATTTGAATTTCTACATTGCTTTGGTAGTGAATTGGTGAAATAAGTGTGAGCCCGTGGCAGTGGCGGAAGATTAAAACTGTTTGTACATCAAGAGGTTGGTAATACCTAACAGAACATTGGATGAATCAACTGGCAACTGGTGTGAGTGACTGAGGACTGACCAATGACAGCGATGGACCGAGTGATTACCGTATAATACCGAGCAGTGGTATTGGTGAAAATGGGTGTGTAGAATGGTGTGGTTGAAATTAGCTAGGCCAACCGCTCCAGGAGCTGAAGGAAGGGTGCTCTCTGCGCTGGTGAGTGGTGAGTCGTGCTGACGGCCGGGTTTTAAGAAGTTAATTACTGTTTTTATTTTGATGTCACGGATATGTAACTACTTCGTTCCACAATCCATCGGACGAAATAATTGGTATCGTAAAATAAGCGGTGTTCTTAATGCAGGAATCCAACTTCTGCATTGTGCTGTGCATTTTAGATTTACCCGGCTTTTGGGTTTCTTTTTTCTGTACTGGAATCATACCATTGCTCGATGATTATTCGCTCAGTTTCGTCGAAGGGATGCCTTAGCCTCACATGTTTTGATAAAGAGTGAGAGTTTGCTGTGCCCAGCGTAACAGCTGGTTCTTTATCACATTATAGATAAGAGGCGCAACTGGTCAGTTAGATGAATTATTGTTCACGTTTTGTGACGAAGATACACGTGTAAGATTGAACTTCACAAATGAAAATGTCAATAAATGGTTTGTTCTATTCGCATCAGTTTCGAGAGAGGCAGAGTAATGAGGGTTTACGAGGGGTGTAATGGGCAGTTACGTGGGGGAGTAATGGGGAGTTCACGGGAGAGTTCCGTGAGAGAGTAATGGGGAGTTCACGCGGTTCCGTGGGAGAGTAATGAGGAGTTAACGGGAGTTACGTGGGGGGAGTAATGTGGAGTAATGAAGAGTTCTAGGGGGAGTTGTAGAGGGGAGTAGTGATGGGTCGAGAGAGTTATGAAGAGTAATGGAGGAGAGTGATGAAGAGTTCAAGTGAGAGTTATGAGGGAGAGTAAAGGGGAGTAGCTGCCTGGAGTTTTAGGGAGTCGTTTTTGGTAACTCTCGATAACTCTCCTAAAGGGAGTCAAAATTTCTCTCAGTGCATACTTATATCATAAAAACATGGAATTTATCTTAAATCAATTTAACTGTCTGAGAAGCTCGTCAAAGTACGCCACAAATTCTGGCGTGAAATGGACGCCGCTGAAACCGCAAACAGCTGATGATTGAGGGTGTTTTGAGATGTGCACAGCTGCTCACGGTTAAAATCATTCTACGGCATCCTCAAAATCGGCGGCTACCAATGCCATAAAGAGCGTGCCGTGTTTTCGATTTCACAGAGTTTTACAAGATTGCGTACTATATATCCAGCCTTAGAGTGCTGCCATATCCATTTCACGGCGTTTATAAGATTGGGCAATGGGGGGGGGGGGTGTATGCAGGTAGTTTTTCTGCTCTGCACTAAACATTTTTAGAGCTAGAAGCCTGATTTTTTGTATAGCTGCTGCTCTATTCTTTATTGATGTCCACTGAAAATTTCAAGTTTCTGTGGTTTTTGGTTTCGGAGATACGACCTTGTTTTTCAGGTCATGTCATGACCCAACTGACTAATTCTCAACATCTTGCGTTGGCTATGGGCCTTGTGAGCTTTTGACACCTTGATTTCGGCATTGTTTGCCAGTCTTACATCCCACCTATCATGGAACATGTTCGACGATGTCCAGATGTCAAGGTCAGGGTCAAGGTCAACCTAGGTCATCTAAAATAATTGCATTTTAGGCAAGATGAACTTACTTTTCGTGAAGTTTTTTGACTGCATTTTTGGTAAAAGCTTCTCAGATCATGATTTCATGTAATATGGACACATAAACAACCGGTGCACAGACTGCACACATCAGTATACACACAGACACACACAGACATACAAACACATATCATTGACCTTGACCTAACTTGACCTGAAATGACCTCAGCGGCAAAAACCTGGTCGGGTAGTGTGACAAAGAGGGTCTAGCTGGCTTGGCACCAGAAAACGGCATCGTCATCGATATATGATAAGCAGCGCACACGGTGACCCAAAACAGCAACATTTTTTAGTTTGACCTGACCTGGAAGGTCACTGACTGACCTGAGAAGGTAAAAACTGGGCATCATTGGATTCGTCTCTTCCCAAAGAATCTTTTTGGTCGTTACCGCGAAGCTCTATCTCCAATAGAAGCGAAATGGCGCGGGGGTGGCAACCATGTGCGTTCTAGGATGGGAAAATGGCATGTGCGGGCGAGGGTTAAAGCTATCTAATATTACCGTTTTGTTTTTGCTATACGAATGAAAAAAAAACTGAATCTAAAAGGCAGCTGCCGGCCGGCGGCTGCACCCTGACCCACCTCCGCCACGTTCTCGGTGCCGCCGAGCTGGTCGATGAGCTCGTCCAGCGTGTTGGCCGGCAGCCGGCTGCCCAGCTGATCCACCTTCCTCAGCAGCTCGTCCTTCATCTGGCAGGCCAGCTCCACGGCGCCGTGGCTGGGCGGCGCGTACTCGGCGCCGCCGCTCCTGCTCCCGGACGACATGTACGCGAACTTGTCTCTGGCAGGTGCCCTTTTCGGTTTAGCGTTGTTGCGCCGCCGCCGGCTACCGGACCACTCTGCCAGCGCCGCAGCAGGACGTTCAGACTCACCAGAGCGCCGCCATATCGGTCATGACAATCATGCAAATAAAAATATAAGCAATTCCTCGACGAATCTGCACATTTTTACGGCCAACTATAGAAAAAGTGCACACAGTTCAGTAATAAGGCAGCCGGTTTCGACAGTTCGGCATAGTGCACCGCTAGTTCGGCCCAGTTCATGATATTCAGACCGTGGGTTCAATTTCGCCATAGTGCACAGTTTTGTAATGTGGCATGTACTCGGCGTACCGCAAAGCAATTTAGCCAAGCCGATTTTGCAAAATAGATTTGCTCAATCATAGCATTTCGGCATCATTTGAAATTGTAACTATAGGATAAGTGCTAGCTAAAACCGTATATATTTTGTTGTCTAAATATCCTCGGTGTTTTGCTTTTTTGGAAATTATTGCATAGCACGCAACTCCTACTTTAAATATGAACTATCCACAGTTCTCACTTTATGAAAATAATGTAGTTTGCTTTTTATTTCAATTTTGTTTTTCTTTCTGATCATTTACATAAAGTAAAACTATCACAAAACATTAAAATAGCAAAAACAAAAATGACCAGTGTATTTTTCTTTAACAAATTTCTAGGCGTTTTTCCAGCGATAATAGCTCGGCAGTCGGCATCGTTAACTTCGATCCGGATATTGTTATTCAATGGTGGCCTCTGCGAACTGAGAAAAGCTGTTTATGGTCATGAAGGCCTGCATTGGCACATTTTAAAGACCACGTTGTGGTTGCCCAAATGTTTTTTCTTCGACGCTCACTTTTGGCTCAGACACGTCGCTAAACGTGGCACCAGTAGCAAACGTTGCAAACGTGGCAAAACTTCACTGTCCCTACGAACCCTCATCAGCACTCGTTGTCTTGGTGTGTGTCGTGTGACCCCTGCCCTGTGGCCGAGACAGCCGCCAGCCTATACCGCGCACCGCGCGGCGCACCAGTCCTTAGCGGGCGGGGGAGCGCATTACGCGCTCCCCGCCCACACCCCTCCCTCCTTCTCGTGGTCGTGTCATGAGGGTTCGGGCTTATGCTACTATCAGCCACTTCGTGGCTGTCGCCCAGTGCATGGGAATGCGTGGTTTGGTCCGGATTCAGCCAACTATCGGCTCGCGACACCAGCGCCGCGTGGTGGCGAGGGGACATTCTTTTTAGACATACTGTACAGCAACGAAATAAGCAAGAAAAAAATAAGAAAAAATAAGCAAGATGAAAGCAAGAAATAACGACGAGGAGAAGATTTTGTAAAAAGTCGCAGCGATTGCATTGAGCATTAACCTTCCAGGCGGTGGGGGGGGGGGCATTTTTTGCCCGCCCCCCTTTAGTTTTTTTTCTCGATATATCTCCAGAACCGCTGCGCCGATCGTCACCAAAATTTCATTACCCTCCCGTGAACAGCTATTGCACATTGTGACCAAAATTTTCCAAAGGCTATGATAAGTTGGCCGCAAAGGTCAGAGTGACGTCTTTTCTGCCATTTTTGACCCAAAAAAGGTTTCGCAGAAAGAGCTGTCAGGCCTACAGCTTTAGAGATACAGAAAAATGTTTCAGATGTAAAAGATGAAGAATCAAGAGGGTTACAAAACTGTAATCTCGGATTTGTGAAATTTTCGGATTTTGACCCCCCCCCCCCCAAAAAATAGATTTTTTGAATATAATAGCCGAAAAATAAAACAAGAATTTCGAAAAAAAAACGGTACATATGTGATAGTCCCTACCGCCTTCTATCTACATATTGAATTTGAGATCGATACCTCTTTTTTGACCAAGTTATAGCGAAAAAACTGTTCAAAATTGATGACGTCTAATTTTCAAACTCAATTTTTAGCAACTCTAGACCTCGTAGCGCAAAACAAAGACCACCATTATACTCCCCGTGACGAGCTGCATCGAATAAATACCCATTTTATGCAAAACTAACAACTTTGAAATTTAACCTTTTTTGACCTGACCTTAACCTGACCTTGACCTGACCTTAACCTGACCTTGACCTGACCTCCACCAGAAAGTGACCTAAACCGTACCTGATGGTCTTATAACCAACAACATTGAGTTGGAAATGAAAAATTGCCCATAAAACATGCATCGTACAACTTTAGTAAAGCTGGGTTCATGTGGTGACCCTTAGTGACCTGACCTGTAACCTGACCTGGTATGACCAGTGACCTCTAATAGCAACATATGTACTAGACAACTGACGCCCTATCGCTGATTTTCGACAAAATGCGTTTTACTCGGTGTTATAGCGCTTTCCCTAGAACAACCGTGAACGGTAAAACATTTTATCTTTGACCTGACCTTTGACGTCATCGGTGACCCCGAGGTCAATGAAATTTGGTTTCCTTCGACAAATTTGACAGGGCTATCGAACGCCGTTTGAATTTTCGGGATCCGTCCAGTGGTTTCGGAGATACGGGGGAGGGGGGCAAAACAATGCCCCCCCCACCGCGCGGAAGGTGGCCGGGAAGCCCACCGCCTGCCGGGTTAATGACGAAAATATGTTTACCCCCCCCCCCCCCCCCACCGCCTCAGGCGATCACGTGTCGTCACCCACCTGGTGAATATCAACAACACGTTATCAATAACACGCGCGCCTTTGGTACCCGCGCCTTCTATATCCCCAACACCATAACTATCGTGATTATTTTTTACCCGCGCACCGACGGGGGTCTGCCCCAACTTAGACCCGACGGGGGGGGGGGTGGATGACCCCCCCTGATATTTCGAGAACGAAGCAAGATAGCGACAAGCGGTAAACGGCATGGGATACGCACGGACAAGGTCTACAATATTTACAAAGGTCGTCTTCAGATCAGGTCAAAGATGACGTCACAGGGGTAAAAAAGTCAAAATGGCGGCGCTAGGTATGGAGAGTTTTTTTTCTCGAATAACTTTCGAACTAGTCAAAATAGGAACAAACTAAGGGCATCATCGTGATCCTCTCGTCAATCCGCATCGAATGATATATATGTTGACCTCGAAAGGTCAAGGTCAAAGGTTGACCTCAGGTCACGTGACCTGGAGGTCATCATGGATATCATTGGATGCGCCTTGACGAGCTGAACACAATGAGACCATCCGCACGGCTGTATCTTGTTCCTGTACGGAGTTATTGGCAAAAAACCTTTGGTGACCTTTGATGACGTCACATGACCTTACAGCTGCCCAACAGCAAACAGACCTCAAGGTAGTGAAGGTTGATCGTATATGAAGTCATGTACGGTTTTTGGGGCCATTCCGACCCGTTTTAGTGGTAAAAACAAGGAGTTGATTTTTCCCCCATTGACTTATAATGGGGAGGTTGAGAAATTAGCCTGACCTTATATCATCGATATACGAATTCCGAGATATACAAATTGTAGCTACTAATGACCTTATAACATCCTGCAACTTTCAAAGGCCTCCGACATCTACTGTAGCTCTGGCACGGTGACAAAGTTGCAAACAAGTGACTTGAGGTTGGGTCAATCAAAGTGACTTGGTGACCTGACCTTAAAAGTTAGGAGGTTCAAACTTGCACACCATATGTAAAATTGATGAGAGAATAGTCGAACCAAATTTCGCAGCGCTACGCGCCGCGGTCTTCCCGCTATCTACGAAAAACCTCAGGGGGGGGGGGCGGCTATCCGCCCCCGCCCCCGTCGGTTTGCGGGTTTGTTGCGGGTGCACCGGTGTTGCCTGCCGGCAGTCACGTACCCTCGTCCTCGTCGCTCATGTCTTCCGAGTGGACGGAGGAGTCGGAGTCCTCAGCCTCTCCGCTGGCCCCCTCCTCATCATCATCGGAGTCTGTCAAAATAAACAGCTTTCAGTTTGGAAGAAAGCAGCTCAGCAGAGCTGCTAGAGTTCGTTTACAAGCGGCTGCGCCACTTGCTTTGCTGCGTGATAGGAAAAATTGCGGCACCAGCCAATTTGCTTTCGAATGGTGTTCGATTCAAATCGATGTGTCATCTAGAAGCATAGATATGAACGGAAATGTGAAGAGAATTTAAAAAAGAACTGTTCTGAAGGCTTTGTTGGATGAAATGAAAATGTAGTGATAGTTTCACTTGATTGGAATATATCCGGCAATATATTCACTTTAGTATGAGGCTACGGTTCTTAACCCGCGCCCCAGTGGCGGTCTCAGCCAACTTCGCCCTAGTGAGGGGGGGCATATGTTACCACCCACCTCTAACTCAAAAACTAAGAGGGCTAGAAAGATGCGGTAAAAAGCAATCGATAGCTCATAATGCGTACGTTTGAAAGTATTTAGGTCATTTTCATCTTAGAGCAATATTGGGGTCACTGGAGGTCATCAAAGGTCAAAATTTGCCAAATGTCATTATATTTCTCAGAAAACATGCATTTATCTCAGAAACTATGATAGCTAGAGAAATGCATAAAAAAGCAATCGATAGCTTTTGAACTCTTCTTTTGATAAGGTCATCATCAAAATTGACCTCAGGTCAACGGTTTAGCCTCCAGAGGGCAAAAACTCCAAAAAATAGCTGTTTTTACGAAATGTGTTTTTCGACAATAACTTTTGACTAAAAAAAAGTCACAACATTTCTATTGCCAGAATCGTGTTCCTCTCGACCAGACGCGTCGAATGAACTATAATTTGACCTTGAAAGGTCAACTTGAAAATTTGACCTCAGGTCAAGGTCATGACCTGACCCGAAAAGGTCATGTTGCATATCATTCGATGCGTCTCGGCAAGACAAACACAATGAGACCATCCCCAGCGTCCTATCTCTTTCCAATCGAGAGTTATTGGCAAAAATATGTTTGTAGCCTCAAATGACCTCGGATGACCTTTCTAGAGGCTATCAGCAAAAAAACACACCTTGGTCGTCACGGGTGGTCCAAGTCATTGTGATTCTCAAATATTTGGACTGTTCCTATGCGTACACACCGATTTGGAGGCATTTTCAGTTTTCTCCATTGCCTTATAATGGTAAGGTCACGCCACTGACCTGACCTTAGGTCACGGATATAAGAAATCCGAGATATACAAATTGTAGGCGCCCATAACATCATGCAATCCACCAAGTTTTAAACCTTTCTGTCAAACACTGCAGGCTGGACATGACTGCAAACTTTTTTTAGGCTTGGTCAGTTAACTTGACCTGGTGACCTGACCTGACTTGACCTGGGGTCAAAAATTTAACACATTGTCCAAAATTGATGTACAAAAAGCTACGCCAAGCGGCGCGGCGCTGCGCGCCGCGGTTTTTTATTTACACGCAAAAAACGCGACAGGGTGGTAACATATGCCCCCCCCCACTGGGGCGAAGGTTAAAGGGACTGTCCCACCTTCAAAAAATTGCTTTGATATACTGTTCTTGTGTTGCAAGACATAGATTAGGGGCCCCTTTACACGAAATTGGCAAACATTCGGCCCATAGTTGGCTAATTGTTTAAAAATTCCAATTTAAAGCTTTTGGATCGATTACGTCATATGATTGCTTTTTTATCGGGCAAAGTTTTTTCCTAGCTGCCAAATCGGTGGCACAAATTTTTGTTACGCTTCTGCCGCGAATAGTATAAACATTGCGCATGAAATCAAAACTCAGGAAATTTGTATTTTAGTAACATGTTCAATGTTCATGGAAAGGATAGAAATGAAAATTGGAAAATTGAAGCTTGAACTTTGTCAAGAAGAAGGTTGCAAACTGCAAAGAATATCAACAAGGCCTTATTTATCATTTTTAAAAGATTATAGAATGCTCCCTAATAAGCAAAAGCAAGATTTTGATATTTGATTATTGATGCTGCCCACAATGTCTTGGGCACATGGAAGTGAGCTCAACTTCAATAATCAGACCTAAGAATCACAATGGATATAGCCATGAGCCAGACTGCAAAGTATGGCAATTTTGTCTAGATTTTGTCAGAGCGGACTCCTTCGTCTGGTGCGGATTGAGTGTGGTGTGGTGCGGTGCGGATTTGGTTTAGTGTGGTCCAGACTGCAGATTTAGTGTAGCGGGGTGCGAATTTGGCTTGCTGTGGTGCAGATGTGTAGCATTGTGGGGATTTGAGGTCAGTGTAGATTTTGACTGGCCATTTTGGGGTTTGGTGCATTTTTTGTTTACTCTCAGCCCCCTTTGGTGTGAATTTTCGGGCTCTGTTTGAAGGGTTTGTGTCAATTTTGAACTTGGGCCAGTGCTCCTTGGCGACCTGCGAGCCATACTCTGTAGTACTGGCCTGGGCCCATGAGCAAAGTAATATAATATAGTCTGTTCAAGATTCAAAATAAGTCTGCAAAACACATTCCAGCAATTGTAATTGAAGCAGAATGAATTGTAGTGACCTGCATTTGTATTTTTGTTGTGTCTGTGAAAGAATAATAAATATACCTACCTATTGGAAAAATCGTGGCCTTTCAGCACATTTGGCAGAGTTGTGTGATTCTGATTTAGTGGCTCATGTGGAACGCAACGAGCTGCGGAACAAGCTTGAATAGCATTTTGCCTCAGGGCTATCTGCCAGAAACATTTCATCTGCATAAATTTGCCTACAGGCAAGTCTGACAAATTTGTGGATTAACTGGGGACCTTGTAAGCCTGCATATTAAATTCTAGCCCAGCATAAACCAAATTATTACAAATGCATTCAAATATATTCAAAAAGACACACAAAAAGACATGTGTGTCTTTTTGAATATATTTGAATGCATTTGTAATAATTTGGTTTATTATTTACATCATCATCCAATCTAGCCCACCAGCTCAGCCCTATTCTCAGTTTCAGTATTCAGCATAACAGTTCTGATCAAGTTCTGATTGTCACCACTGAGACCCCAATGGAGTCCTCTGAAATTTTGCCTTTACATTAAATTATTTACAAGAGTTTCAGCTACATTTAGACCAAACGTTTCACTCTCAAAGATCTGCGACCTACCCCACTCGTCCAGTAGGATGCCTGGCGCGCAAACAGTCCAGCAGTGAGCTGCCAGCCGGCACGCAGGGCAGCAGCAGGCGGCGGCAGCAACAGCAACTAGTGAACATGTCTTGGACTGCAGCCACGACATGATCTAGGCTAGCATCTATTCAATTTGTCCATGTACAAGTCCCACATCTCCTGCCCGAGGTCGCGCAAGTCAGGGAACTGACCACCTCCAGCCCAGGCGTGATTCACTGACTCAAGACATTTCAACTGACCAGTCAGAGTTCATGTTTTGCAACTTTTATCCAAGTTATTCGTAATTGTAATATTCTAAACTGAATTTTAGGCATGACTTCATTTTTCAAGAGCTACACAGAACACACCTTCCCTGTACAGCACATCTATTGTCCTGACATTAGTCACATAGTTGCAAGAAGCGACTTGAATGCGGAAGCTGCCTGTTTTGAAGCCCTGTTGTCTGTTGGGTGACACTGCACAGAGGTAAGGATGGAGTGTGATTTTGCTGCTGTTTGTCAGGTGCAATATGTGTGTCAATGATCACAAAGTACTCTTAAGGTTTAAAAAATGCACAGCATGGCCTAACAAAGCACATTACCTAGGTTTTGACAAGCAGCGCAGCGACTGTGGTACAAAGGCCCAGTCCCATGCTCATGTTAGTACCTAGCTGGATCTGCTGCCAGGAAACAAAGGTAAAACACTATTGACAGCTTTAAGATGAAATCTGCAGGAAAACTAAGCCATGTATAAAATCTAACATAAGCTTAAAAGTGCAACAGAGCATTTCTGATTCAACGTGCAGCACTTCCGCTTTCATCCGCCATCAGCAACTCAGTTCAAAGAATGATACATTACATCACTAAAATTTATTTCAAAACACCTCTGCATGGTGTTTACACAAACAACAGTTCTTTACTAGGCATGGTCGACCTCAGGCCACCCACACTTCAGCAAACAGGGTATTATCAATGTTTAACGGCTCAAGGTTAGTCGTCTTGGATGCTCAGAAATAAAAAGGTGAACATTCATTGTCTCTTCCTTAGTTGTCACCATCAATAGATTGTGAACTTCTCAGAGCATGTCTTGTTGATTATGGAGTTGAAACAGCAGTGAGCAAATCATTTATCATTTTGATACTATGATTAATTTTAGTGAGTTGCACACTTGAACTTGACACCTGCCATTGATAAGTTCATGGATCTTGCATTCTTCAGTCACATTTAGAACGGCCTCTTAACTATTTAAATACAAAAATAAAAATATTACAAGAATTAGAAGACTATTAGAATTAGTTTGGCATATCAATTTATTCCTCCACTTCGCGGCGCCGGAACGGATTGGGCGCTGTTCCAAGAGGCGTTGTTATTTTTCAAGGTTTCAATAAAAAACAAGTCGACAAATACAGAAACTTCTGAAAAGGCAGAAACGTCACAGGTTTTAAGTGCCAATACCAATACATTGTGGCACTTATTTGCACAGATGTTAAAATCAAACACAAATTTATTTGCGATGAAGTAATTGCTGGAGAAACGGTTTTCAAGGCTCTGATTTTCAAAAAACGCCCATCAAGATGGCTATCTCAACTCAATTCTAATATTAAGGTGGGACAGTCCCTTTAAGCTTCATAAAATCTAACTTACCAGTATAACGCCTTTTGGGGCGACTAACGGAGCGAGCGAGAGGGTGGGCCTTGCACGTGCGAAGTTGCGAGGGGGTACCTCCAACTGACTTGTGCACGGCACCCTACTAACCGGTCTCTAGCGATGTGCCAAATTTGAGCACAATCGGCCCAGCCGTTCTCGAGATCTGGAAGCGGCACCCTGCATGTGCGCACGTGCAAAATGGGTCCCGACTGACTTGTGCACGGCACCCTACTAACTGCTCCCTAACTGTGTACCAAA